TGATCATTCGCTCTAAGAGTAAAAGGTTTATGTGAAAAATTACCCTTATTATTGAAGTAAATACTAGAGAAAGCCTTGGTTGAAATTAACACTCAGTACCTTGTTGCTACATGTGTAATGTCCTACTCAACTGAGCTACTATAGTCTGCGAGCAAGTTCTCTGTAGGGCTCTGGGGATGGGTTTTTTTTCCTGTTCCCCGCCCCCTGACTTCCCCAGAGAGCTCGCTCGCTCGCCAGAGTCGCCAAAGCATTGTGCACTGGGAGTAATCCAAAAACAAGGACAAAACATTATGCTTATAATTATTCTTTATGTAAAATGTTTGTTTTTCTCCAAACAGCTGCGAAGTGAGGAGACAGTGGAATTACAGCACATTATGGAGGAGATCAGCAAGATGTTCAGTGGGCGCCGGCGAGGAACGGAGTGGAGTGTTCCATGGCCTTATAAAGGTTACTGTTACTGTTTTTGCAATTTTTTATTTTGCTTTGTTGTCTGATTTTGTTCATTTCTTTTCGGCTTGCATTTGTTGAAACGCTGTGATATAGACTGTTCACAGTCCCCTATTTTTTCGTGAGATCGTTTAGATATACCGAATCTTACCGTCACGGCTATCTTGATTTTCAAATGTACCGAGGGGGTGGACGTCGGGGATTATAGCAGCCCGTAACGCAAATCGCTCGATCTCGATGATCTTACGGAAAAATAGAGGACTGTGAACAGTCTACTGTGATAAAACTCACTAAAATGCGAGCAGCAAAAAGTTTAAAAGCGAACCACTCGGGAATGAATTTATTTGTTAAAATTGAAGAGTAAAAACGTACGAAACGAATACGAAACTCGTCACTCTGTTGGCATGTAATGGTGTAAAGAAGTGTAACACTAAACCAAAATGAATTTTGTAGGTCTGGTTTGTGCTGCGAGATTTACTGAAGACAAAGTCTGGTATCGAGCTTTAGTTACAGGTGAGGATTCTATCAAACAAACACAACCTAAATATCGCAAACACCCGTTTTCGCGGATACTCCCGGGACAGTGAGCATATAGGCTATCGTCACACTATATCGACTCGAAAAGGTATCTGATACCATAGTGTAAGCAGCAACGAACAAGTCCACTACATCCTAGTCCTTATTCATAAATATCTTCTTCCGTCTCAGTGGGCTGCAGTCCTCGCTCCTACGTATCCACTTTCGATACCGTCCGAATACCTGATCACACTACACCAAAGTGTGGCACAGAACCTATCCCGTATGTGACGCTTCACTATCGAGATCAGTGCGGCGCAGTTTCGCTTCGTTAAGGCTGATTTAGACGGTAAGATTTTTGTTTACGACTATCGTGCGTGAGGAGCATACGTTATGACTTTCGACCATCCACACGCGCACTATTTTCACTTACGACATCCACATGTGTCGTACGTATGTCGTTTGTTAATTTACACGACACGATCTGTCGTGAAGTCATGACGTATGCTAGTTGCGCACGATAGTCGTAAGCAAAAATCGTGCCGTCTAAATCGGCCTTTTCAGAAATCGCGCCGAAATCACCGTTCTTGATTGTGAACACAAGCCCAATCCGGGTATGGTTTTCATGCCGGTACAGGAGCTATCTGGTAGACTGTGAACATAGCCTTGGTGTCCTTACTCGCGAGAGTTCGTTATAGCTGGAGTTTATCTAGAGAAACGTCTGTGATTCAATTTTGCCGAGGATTTAGCTGCTGTCCATATCATTAGGATATCTGTAACAGTGTGGTGTCTGTAAGGCGGTATATGACTGTTTAAGGATGATTTTAGCCAAATTGCCGAAAAAAAGATTACTGTACCTGAGAGCTAAAATATGTCCATTATTAGACGCTAAAGAAAATATTCCCCATTGATAACAGTTTACCAAAGCAGGCAAAATTCTGTCAACTATTGGAATGCTATTGTTTGTCCAAAAGGTGTTTGTTTTAAGGTAAGTGCCACTTTGTTGTTGTTTTACAGCTGTCAACAGTGACGAGACAGTAAATGTCACATATGTGGACTTTGGAAACTCTGAAAAGTTGCCGTTTTCTGAAATCAGGAAACTACCCGATATGTTTCTCAGGTTACCAAAACAGGTAATTAAACTATGTTGTCTTATTTCAGTGATGCCACATGTTAGGTACGGCTTAATTTGTACTCAGTTCTCATTGGATGTTGGGGTGAAACAAATTGCAACACCCATGCAGCCGTTTTTGTCTCGTCACGCAACGCTACTCCGCCAGAAGGGGAAGGAGCACTGCGTGACGAGACAAAAAATGCTGCGTGGGAGACTACCTTACGAACCCCACGTTGTTATGTTATTTCTCATGTTTTTTGCAGGGACTATTTTGGGGATATTTTGGGACTATTTTCACAACCTTGTAACAGCCAATGAAAGAATCGTTAGTGTCCCCACAACTGTCGTATCCATAGTGCAAACTAATACAAATCCGACACTCAGAAAACACACTCTCACACTCACACTCACACTCAGAACAAAAAAACACATCTTCAGCTGACACCATTCACGTTGAGCTTACCTAGCACTCAGATTAAATCCAATTTCAAATTTTACCAAAGCAAGCAGATGTCAAGGCTCGTTAAAACGGACACTAAATAGGGCCATAGAAAGTGTCCCAATTAACAGGGCGTCTGTATTGAGAGGGTCATGTTATTAGAGTAAAAAAAGCACCTTTTATTAGAACAAAATACTACAGAAATAGAACGGGACGGTAGCATCGCCAAATAAAACATATCTAACTTTCACACTGGTCATTCCGCAGTTCGCTCATCTGATGATCTATATACTACTTAATCAAAACCGTCCTCTGCATAATTATTTCGATGCCTGAAAATAGTCTGAAAGTGATGTCTACAAATCATCGTATCCGATGTACTGTACATTTAGCGCTGGGAACATCGACATGCTGTCGACTGAATACCTTCAGGAAGGAAAGGCTTGTTACAACATACAATTGAATTTAGAGAAATGTATGGACTTTCCTCTGGGACAAAGAAAACTGTTCGTAATAACGAGTTGTCTGTAAAGCGGGATTGGACTGTATTATGGAGAACCCCTGGTTTACATTATTGCTAATCGCTGTTCGATTTTCAATTGTAATCATCCATTAATAGCTAATTAACTCTAAGGGACCTGTGTGAAAAAGGAAGCATTCAATTTGGTGTTTTTAAATTTAATTCTATTTTAATTCTATTTTGTATTTTTTCAAGGCATTGCCTGTTTCTCTTGTGGATATTAAACCAAGTGGAGCTGAATCCGAATGGCAGGTAAGAAGCAAAACATTCAATTTCGACATAGATATTTCTTTTCGTATGAGTGACTGGGGATTTGGATGGCGCAGCGATGAAAGCACTCGCCTTCCAGCAAAATGGCCTAGGGTCGAGTTCCAGTTTCGACCAATCAGAAATGCTATCTGACTTAAGTTTGTGGTTGGTTCTCTTCTCTGCTCCGAGGGTTTTTTTCTCGTTTTTCCAGTTTTCTCTTCTCCTCAAAAACCACCATTTGATCTGGAAAGTCGGCTTTCCAATTAGTTTGGGGCACAGGTTTTATAGTTTTGGAACTGTCAAGTTTCATCTTCTCTAAGTAACGTTAGGTTTTTTTGTGGATATTAACTGTTTTCACTTTGTGGGCATTTCTTGTGCTTGCTTAAGTTCCTTGCATTCTCTTTTTCTAACAGGATCAAGATAATTTAACCACCTTAATTTTGAACAGATCGTTGGTTGTTGACGTTAAAGGTAAAGATGACAGCTTTATATGTAGTCCGGCGCTTAAGTTACACTAAACCCAAGTCGTGCTTAGACTCGCCGTGAACAAAACAAAACAACATAAAACAGAAGGAACTTGTTTCCTTCGGTATTTGCCGCATGCAGTGCGTCCTTTAGGCGGGAAATTTTATATTCAATCTCCTGATTGGCTGTTAATTGTGGGACTCGGAAACCTGAGATAAACATCTCGTTATCTGTCGCGGTGGCGTCTGTATCGATCTATGTGCTGGGTAGCCTGTGCAAAGACGTCTCCTATTTCTATTTTGCACGTCTCTTTTCCGCGTGCAAGGAAGGAAATAGGAGACGTCTGAGCGCAGGCGACCCAGCATAAATCTTGATAAATGTATTAAGTATAAACTAAAACAGTGGATAGTGGATAGTTGATAAGCTCCCCTTTTACGATGTTTGTATTGTTTTAATATTGTCAGGCGTTGTAGATGACAAGATGTCTGTCTTACTTTATGACACCTCGGGAGCTCAAGATGTTTGCATCAACGAGTTTCTTGTCCTGAATGGTTTCTGTCAATCAGCTGGATTAGGGTAGGCGTGTTTAAAGAATTGCCCTCTTGTTAGGCTATATTTTCTAGATCTTATGTGAGGACAATGTGGAGTGGTTAGGATCACAGGTTCACTTACCCGGCCCAAACTTTTTCCAAGACTTCGGCTTACCTTTTTCGGAAGGTTTTGGCCAAATTGTAAAATTTCCGAAGTCTTCGGAAGACTTTGGAAACTGTCGGAAGCTTTCAAGGACTCTAAAATCATGTTCAGAGGTCGCTGGGAAACTATAGCGGGTCGACTCAGTCCCCAGCCTCTCTACACGTATCCTGATAGTTTTGATAACGAAGGTTTTTGGTCCGTTTTCATGAAAAGAAAAGAAAGAAAGAAGAAAAATACGCGTCCACACGTAACGTATTTGAATGGTTTTAGTTCGTCCACATGAAAACGCTAAGACGATGGAAAGACGATGGCTTCCCTTACAGGGCGTGCGTAATGCTAGTAGGTTCTCCCGTGATGTATGACATCATCTTATTCGAAAACTTCCGTACACGTAAACGAGAAGCCGGTATTTTCAGAAATCTCAGCTTTGGGGACTATTTTGTAAAAACCTGCGTTTTTAGTGCCCGAAAACGCCGTTTACTTGGACGGTAGGCTAAAACAGCGAAAAAAATCTACGTTTTCAGTAACAATATCTGGATACTTATGGACGGGAACTCAGGTTATCCCTCGTGGTGACATCAGTAGGAGAATGAATTGGTTCCTTCATAGAGTACAGTTTGGGATTAATGCTGCTTAATAGACTGTTCCCATATTTCTGTGTACAAAAGCACTAACTTGAGGCTTGGGGTTGACAAAATATAACTGCAGTCCACCCAAGCTTTGACCTCGTTTCATTGTGTGCACTCACTGGAGCCCACAGAATGAAACCACACGACTTTTTCGTCAATCACAACATTTCTGTCATGACATAAGTTTTAATGAGCAAACCTAGCTTTTGGAGTTTTGTTGTTTGGTATTTTCATGTCGAGACTTTTTCTGATTACGTGGAGAGGTAATGTTTACGTTTCAGTCATATAAAAGACATGAAAGATAAAACCGAGAGGATAGCAAAAGAAAAAGGTGAATTGAAAAGGAAAAACAGCATGCCTTGCAGGACACTAGCATGCTCATTCAAGCGTTCTTGCAGCATTGTTAAAAGCTGTGAAGAGCTTGCGGCAGAAAAAGAAAGTACAGAGGAGAAGACTTCAGAAACGAATAGCCAAGAAGGTAGTGTAACTGCTGGCAGTGAAAATCAAGGCGACCAAACAAGTCAGTGTAGTTCATACACAGAGGAGGAGAAAGCAGTACTTGAAGAGAAAACGGTTTTGAAAGACGCCAGCCCTGTTGTTTTTGAAGAGTTCAAGTACAAGCCTGCTCCTGTACCAGAGAAGAACAGATTTCAAGCAGGGATCACTTTTGTGGACTCTCAAGGTTATATTTATGCCCAGGAAGTGAAAGAAGGCGAGTTAGTTCCCTTTGCAGTGTAACAGTTTCGCTGTACACTTTTGTATAAAGGAATTAATTTGATACCAGGAAAGCGAAGGCAGATAGGACGGCAGAAAAAAGTAGGACTGACAAGCGAAACAATTCCCTGATTGATTTTGCAAAACAGCAACGTTTGATGATTAAATTCGAGGTTTGTGGAAAACGCGAAGACATGAGATAAACCTTTTCTCCTCATTTATATTCACTCTCATTTCTAAGCCTCTTCCCTGACTTTGCTTATTTTCAATGATCTATCATAAATGACGGTCACCTAGACTGTTCACAGTCCCCTATTTTTCCGTGTGATCGTGGAGATTGAGCGCGTCTTACCGTTAATGGCGGGCATCTTGATTTTCAAAGTTACCGAGAGGGCAGGCGCGTCGGGGATTCAGACCCACTCGAACAGTCTAACGGTCACCCAACTAGATTAGCTTTGTAGTTATTTTGGGTGTCTCGTTACTGTATAATTTTTTATTCGAGGGCAGGTATCTCTTTAGTTACTCAACGTATAGTACGTTGTTGTTGTTGTTGCTGTTTGTGGACATCAAAGCTTCTTTAAATTCAGACCCTGGACATTTTAGTATTGAATGGCATAAGAGGTCATAAGACAAAGTCAAACAGTTGCAAAAAATTTGAAAAGAACCCGATTAGGAAAGGAAAGTTTCAGTCAGTGTATGTATTGATGATTGAGATCTACTTATCCAAGAAAACACCATTTTGTTTCTTGTTTTCGATTATTGCAGGAGACCGAACCTTGATAAGCATCATGAGCTCCCTTCTGGAGAGGTATGGAAAAGGTGATGACACTAGCACCGCCCCCTCTAATGTGACGTCGTTGCCCCCCGGGTTCCCATGCGTGGCGCAGTTTACTGAGGACGGCATGTGGTACCGTGGGAGGGTAGTCAAGTATGTTGATGAAGATAAAGTGGAGGTAAATTGATGACGTTAGCGTGACGTCAAAACATAAAGGCCTAATCTTATCACTCTTAAGGTTTATTACGTTTACGGCAAAATGTTGTTACATTTAGGACTTTATTCAATTAGGTTCGTTTATTACATTTAGGTCTTCTACAACTTTCTTTTTTCAGGGAGTTTAATTTTTGCGGATTGGCGATTTTTTTACATTTTGCGGGCAAGCGCAAAAAAGACAAGAAAAGGGCGGATGGGTGCATCTGGAAAGATTAAAGCGGATTGCGTTTAGCTAAGCTATAAAAGTGAGAATAATTGTCTTCGCCGACTGAAACTGATTTAGTCTATAAAAGACTTGCACTTATTTGCAGTGTTCTTTTGAGTCCTTGCTTTTATTTGGACGCATGATATTGAGAAATACCGCTAATTCAAGGGACTTTACATTTCTGTCAGGTTAACTACGTTGACTTTGGAAATTCTGAAGTTGTGCCGGTGTCGGCGATAAGACAAGAAATGCCTTTTATGGAAATACCACAGCAGTGTCTTCAGCTTGTTCTGCGTGGCATTGAACCCGTAAGCCTACTAATTTCTTCCTTCGCAAACTCCCCCATGTGTGGGGTGTGCGATCTTCTAGTTTAATATTCTCTTAGTGATATGTTTTTGTTTAAATGTACCGTTTGAATAACGAGCCTTATTTTAAAGTCTCCTTTAAAGGCAGTTTGTCGCATGGGTCTAATTTAATAGGCTTTCGTTACCACAAGTCTCCTGTTCTTTATTGGTAGAGAATCTTGACTAGTTACTGTAAAGGTTCTTAGTTCACCCCCTGTTGGGACCACTCGCTGTTTTTTTCCGAGTTGCCTGTGTCACTAACTGAAGAAACATCACTCTAAATAGGTACGAAGTTAGACACCTTGACTTAAGACGCGGTTTTGTAAACGGAATTTTAGTAAGAAGACAGACTTACTTAAAGGTGACTCTTTTAGAAAGGGGTTTTGAGTGTGGTGATCATAATGCCTCGGCGCTGTTTTCATGATCAGTGGAATGTATAAAACCACAATTTACACTCTGACCAATCGTTACAGATACAGTCAGTTCCCGAAAGGAATCAGAACCAGAAGAAAGTTCACCAGGTCGTTTGGTTATAGCGCAAAAACATGAGCTTGAGCGAGTCACTGTTGACTTTTGCTCCTCTTCGGACTGCGAACAATTATTGGATGAGGTTTTTGTGATTTCCGGGATGATCAAAACCAAGACTTTTTTCACTTACTGAGACCTTCATTATTCCGGATATCACAAAAACCGAATAACTAAAAGTAACTGTGTTATTATACATCCTTGTTTTGAAGAAAATAATGACCAACACAGCATCCCATGGAGCACATTTTGACCTCGCTCTTGCAAGTAGTGCCTTGTGCGCGCGCGCAACCTACAGACTAGTCAGTAATCTGGTAGCAGATAACTAGCTATCTGTTGATTGTGTAGCCTCCCACGCAGGCGTTTTTAGGGGATGAAAAACGAGCTCCCCTAAAAACGCCTGCGTGGGAGGCTAGTGATTGTGCTGATTTCCAAAATTAACTGTAGGCTCTTTGCCAATGAGAAGACAGATGGTGAGTGCGATGTATGATAGTCTGAGAAACTTGTGCGTGATTTTTCAGCCAGTCCCATTGCATCCCAACCAAAGCAATCGCGCGGTTATTTTAACAGGAAACTTATAACTCTGTTTTGAACGCACTTGTTTCTACCTCGTAGAAAACCAGTGATGGACACTGGCCTGCTGATACCATCCGAGAACTATCTCAAGAAATTGTCGGTCAAGACTGCATTGCTGTCATCAAGGTTTGTCTCTGGACCATCTGACTTTGACTCAGAAGAGCTATTACGAGGATATGAATGCAAAAAAAATTTTGAAACACTTCCGATTTCCTTTCCTTTTTTACTTTATTTTGGGGAGTTTAGGATCTCACGTTGGCGACGGCAACAAGAACGTCAAACAAACAAACAAACAAACAAAGCAGTAGTTTTAGATTAGCAAAACGACAACTGAACTTTGCACGTGCAGCACACTTTTTAGTGCATTTCTTTGTCGTCACTACACGACTACGACGTAAAATTTCTTGTTTTATGGAGAACGTAAGCAAAAGATGACTAATTTCTTTTTCTTTTGATGAAGTTAGATATTCAACTTTTGATATTCAATTTATTTTTTGCAATATAACTCCAGGAGAGTTCGCCTACATTTGACGTAGAGAGCCAGTTGGAATGTTTAAGTTTTAAAGAACGCGAAGACACTTCAAGTAATATATCAAGCATGAGACGCAGTGTTTCATCACCAGATGAAACACTGAGAAGAGAGTTGAAAATACAACATGCAGCCGAGTATTTTTGACGAACTTCGAGGTGTTTCATCTGGTGATGAATCACTGTGTCAAATGCTTGATATTACTTCTCAAACGAACTGATTTTAGAAGGAGAAATTAAGGATGCAAAAATGAGCAGTTTTTCATCTGATTTCCAAACACTCATTAAACATAAAATTTCCTTTGTATTTTCTTTATGAATTATTAATGAGTTGACAAAGGACGTTTTCGCCGCCGTTGCTGTTGTGGTATCCTATTGCTAACTCCATATCATTTTTGCATCATCAGGGTGACAAACTGCCTGGCTATCCTCTGGTGGTGAGACTGTTTCTCTCTGACGACTCCGACGTGGCGCAGACTCTGTTGAGTAGGGGCCTGGTAAAGAAGTCTGTTTTACTTAATGATGAAGAACCACCCCAGTTTTACCCCCAAAAGAGAGGACCTAATAAGGCCAAGCCTGTCAAGTCTAAACGTTCAATTACTGAAACCAGGTTGGTTCTTGCTTTCAAAAGTTCTCCTCAAGAAGGCATTGTGATCAATTTTGCGACTAAAAGCAAAGAAACAGTTATGAATCAGTAGCTTAGGAGTTGTTTACTTGGAGGGAGGAAGATCCTCGCACTAGGAAGATCCCAGAAGGCGGATCATCCTAGCGCCATATGTTTTCTGTATTCAGTTTACATGCAAAGGGTTGTACTTGTCGCTAGCACTGAGACAGGGCAATCTTGATGCTGATGTACGTTGCAGGGCCCACGCGCAAAAGATTGGTTCGCGGGAAGCTGAATGCATGCTGGCACGCACAAACCTCCCTTTGGATGACATCCGGTATGACGTCACTATTACTCATATAGAACGACCTGACTGTCTGTACATCCAGCGGGTTCCGCCAACAGACAAAGACCCGGGTTTCTCAGATGATCCCGACCCCACCCTAGAGGCTGCAGCAGAGGAGCTACAAACCCTGGAAGAGATCATGGCGAAGATTAATGAGCCAGATTACTTCAAGAAGTACACTCCGCTTACCACTGCCAGTGAAGGTAAGTGGGCTTCGTGTCCGAAGTAAATTTCAAAAAGTTGCCGACGGAAATTCTTAAAGAAACAGGGTATCTACATTTTTTGTACGCATTGCATTCCTATGCTGCTTTATTGCAGGCATGTTATGCTGCGCGCGTTACTCTGAGGATGACTTATGGTACCGTGCTCAGGTCAAATCAGTGGAGCGTCAAAACCCTCTTGAAGTAAGAGTTGTGTACGTGGATTATGGCACTACAGAAGTGGTCAATGCCGACAGGTGAAGTGCTTCGCAATTGCCTTTGGTTCTTTGAATTTTAATCACCCCACTCAGATCTATTATAGCGCGACCGGGAAACCCGTGACCACTTGAAATATGTCAGGAATGGTTATTGTGTTATGACCAATCACAGCAAAGATCAGCACACGCGAACTAGCCACAAAACCACAAACTAATTAACGTTCTTGCTTGCGGTTTAGTTTTCTCACGCCTAACTGGCTTCTTTCCTGCAACACAATAACATTCCAGAAATGTTTTTGGTGTTCACGGTTTTCCCGGGTTGACTGTAAGACTCTAGTCTGGAATGCTTGTGTCTCTGTTCTTGGTATGAACGGCTAAAGCACTACAGGTTGTGTCTCTGAAATTAGCAATGAGGCTGGGGAGTGGGGGGATGGGCGGAAATCAAAAGGATCCCTGGGACACTTGATTGCATAAGCCAGGCTGGCTTGCTTTGTTGAGATCTTAGCATTTTAGTTAAACGCAGCAAAATTCAACTTGACAACCGAGCCATCTCAATTATCTGGGATCCCGGTATTGAGATACCGGGATCCCAGATAACAAGGCTGCAACTTGTCTACGTAATCACGCTTGTCGCGCCAGGCGGGCGGACCAAGCGGGCAAAACGACAGCAGGTAACACTATGCTCTTGCAAACTGCGTCCAATTTATCTGTGCTTTAAACATTGCAGATCCGGGCTGGCCTGCTTCATGTAATACAGCCGAACCTCCCTTAAAGCGACCACCCAAATTGTGAAGATTTAGTGGTCGCTTACGAGAAGTGGTCGCACATGGAGGTTCGACTGTATCAGAATAAAGACACCCCGGCTATAGTTAGTAGAGGACACTGGTTATGAAAGCCAGCCAACATCAAAGTTGAAAACAACGGTGCTGTAGTTTATGTTGGAAGCTCCCTGACCGTGCTCAATCCTTTGTTGTTTGTTCCCAAATTGTGACTGAATAGGTTAACACAATGTCTCTGTTGGTCAGTAAGTATAAAATGATAGGAATGCTATTGAACGTTGTGCACGCTCAGGTCCAAAATGCTAACAAAAACATAACAAAGAAGTCTTTTGAGCTTCATAACCATTCCACTTTATTAACTATGTCTCGGCTAATCGAGCCAGCCTGGCTTTTGTAATAAGGCCCGGCTTAGCTTCTCAAAAACCTTCAGAAAACGTCTCTCGTTAGCATGCATTATTTTAGCTTTATTCAATTAGTGGAAATGATGTATAGGTGAATTCTGTAAACTGACGGGCAGGTTGCGAGGTTTTCCTTCCGAGTTACTGGAATTACCTACGCAGTCTACACGCTGCTTCCTCGCTGACATCAGACCTCCAGATACCACAGAGGGACCAATGACGGAGGATGGTTGTTGGCCTGTGAACACCATGGAAGCGCTTATACAGTTAGTAGCCGGCAAGAAACTTGTGGCGAAGACGATGGTAAGTGAGATTCGAAATGTTTCTTTTGTTGTTGGAAGAAATGTTAATGGCTTGTTTAGAGTGGTACAGTATTGCACTTGTCTACTCGAACTCCACTCCACTCGTAACAAATGACTTGAAATGCCATAAATGTAAAGCCAGTTGGATATTTACAGGCGTAATCGAAGATTAAACTCGCGACCACTGAGAATTAAATCCAGGTATTGGTCTGAGCGGGACTGCGAGTACGCCAATACGCTGATAACTGGGCCACGCTTATGATAAAGTTCTTTGAATGAGAGAATCAGTTAATTAAAAGAAAGAAAACGCCGGGCCAACACGCTCCATTAGAAAAGAAAGATCTCCTAGCTTTCGCTGAGTACAGTGTCTGAAGGGTGTTTTTCGATGCAAGAACCGCCACTAAAAGATAGGAATTTTACTGTTTACTTTTACCCTTTACTAAGGTTTCTTTTCAGTTTTCTTGTTGAAAGGTTCCTTCGGTCGGTCATAACTCAGCTTCCCGCACAATTTTGGTATCGCCTCTAATGGCCTTGACTTTAAAAGCGGAATTCAGCTTGCGGTGTCTCCAAGTGCATAATGATGTCATCTTAAGTACCTTATGTTAGGTTGACACATTGTAAACTGTATATTTCATCCCAGCCCCAGCTTAGCTGTGTACAGTGGTCGCAGGGTGCTAGAACCAATTTTGGCATCTGTGAATTCAGTTTCCTGTGTACATATACCCTTTACTAAATTCCCCTCCAGTCTCCTTGTTGGAAGTGTCAACCTAGTATCGCCTGTATGAATTTGACAATAAAAGCGAAGCTCTACATGCGGTGACCCAAAGGACAAAATGTTGCGACCTTAAGTATCTTCTGATAGGTTGACATATGGTAAACTGTTTATTTCTAGTTCAGTGGTCCGCCGGCGAGTGTCATTTTGTATGAACACAAAACAAGAAGTGATGGATGTATTGAACAAGTGTCTGTTGGATATCTGCTGGCTCAGAAGGGCCTTGCAAAGTGTGCGGATTACGCGGAACATGTGAGGATTGAAGAGTCAGATAATGATGACCCGGAGAACTGTGAGTCTGACGGAAACGTGCTGGAGTTTCAGGAATCAGAACTTAGTTTTAAATCGGCGGCGGCTGAAGCCAGAACGGAGTCTAAAAGCTCGTCTTCTGCAGATCTTCTGGAGAAAATTTTTGACTCGAAAGTAGGCTTTGCCTCTTCGTTATCTCCTAAAACGCCACTTCTGACACCATCGGCAATGTCAAGTAGAGGCGAACAGCAATCTTCAAAGAAAAAAGAAATGAGTACAGAGCTTAGCAGTTCTCTTAAGAACAAGGAAGATGAGAACTCACCACAAATAACTACGGATCAGGCACGTGACGAAACACGTGACCAAGAACATTCATCTAGTGAACCTGTGGCTGTCGAGCAGGCGACGGAAGTAAGAGCAGCGGTTGCAGGTTCGAACGTTACGGAAGTAAATCAAGACTCTGTGGAGTCTTCCGTTTAAGTGGAAGAAAAAAGACCATTTCAAGATAGAGAGTAATGAATTTAAAAACTTGGGTATTTTGTAAGTTGATAAAGCTGAAGTGATGTTTTTCTTCTGATAAAAGAGACCATAAGATAGTGGTTTTCGGTAGTCACGAAGTCACGTCACTAGTTTAAGGTTTGGGGTTTAAGGTTCACCTTTGTACGGCTGGACCACGCACTAAAGGTTTTTTTGCACCCTAAAACATCATATATCATAATCATAATCAACGAAACACATCTAAAAAGTAGTATTTCAAACGTAGGATTATGATGTTTCCGGGAGCAAGAAACCCTGCGGTAAATCACTGACCTTTAGGGCGTGTTCTAGTCGTACAAACGTGAACTTCAAACTACAAACCTGACGGCAAGGCACTGGTCACGTGCCAGAAAACGTCGATCGTAATGTCTCTGATAGTTGTTTTTTACCCGCGCTCGGCAGCGAGTCGAGGTTTTCCCGCGTTCGACGTGGTCCACGCTGTGATAGGCTTGTTGGGTCGTCATGTTTTGTTTGTCACTCGTTGGTTTTGTTACCTTTTGTAACAGTGACATTTTATGACCACTGTACGACGAAGGAAAGTGTAGAAGTTAGAACGAAATCAGGATTAGCGGGTGGAAAACCGGTTATTTTTGCTCTTCTCCCCTTCGAGCATTTAACCTCAGTGTTCTGTTTTTGTACTCTTACTTGTAGACTTTCAAAATTTTGAATACTTAGAAATTCACCAGAAATCACGTTATTTAAAATTGGAGGACTTATGTCCTATTTTCAGACTCGTGCCAATAAACTGATTATTTATTTCGCTAGCAGTTTTGTTCAGTTTCTTGTTGTTGTTGTTGTTGTTGTACGCGTACCTCCTCTTACGACTTAAACAACGTCACAAATTAGATACAGTCGAACCGTCATGTGCGACCACCTGTCTTAAGCTACTACCTATCATAAAAATAAAAAACTTTTTTAGTCGAAGTCTTTCAGTTGGAACTTCTCGTAAAACAACCACTTCCTTTAAGCCAACGCGATCACTTTTGGGGGCTGATGGTTTAATGACTTTCTATTGTTTTTAAGATCTTGTACAGTCTTGTAAGCGACCACTTGACGATTTGTCTGATCTATTATGCTACTTAGACCTAACTAGGAAATTTAGTAACAGAATGGAACTGCACATATCGTAACTTAGAAATTGCATGTTATTAATTATCTTCCATAAGTAGATGTGTCCGGACGTCTTCTTGGAATGGACCTCTCGAAATCGACCACTAATGCCCCGTCCACAGACACTTCAAGCATTACGCATGCTCTGTAAGGTATGTTATCGTATTTCCATCGTTGTAGCGTTTCGTATGGACGGGCGAAAACGATTTGAATGCGCTACGTGTGGACACGCATTTTCTTTCTTTTATGGCAAACGGCGGGAAAAAATCTCCGTTTTCAAAAAATATACGGATACATGTGGACGGCCTCGCATTTTGGGTGTGCGCTCGCTCACAGGAGGTCTGACTCGGCTGTATCCATAAGACTTATGTTAAATTGTGACATGTTCCGGTTTCAGTACTGAGGACCCTACGAAACTACGATGGTGACGGCATGTACAGGATCGTCAGAAAAAAGACAAACAAACAAAATAGGTTTAACGAGAGAGACCACATCTTGCACGTGAATCGCGCTCTTCTGTTAGTAATTTC